CAGCCGCTACATTAAAATATTTTATTAGTGATAAAACTATTAGTATATATTGATATATAGTAATAAAAGAAATTAAAGACAAGCACTTCTTATTTATTTTACTATCACAGCATGTACTTTTAAAGAATAAAAATATATTATCATTAAGATTAGTAGATAATTAAATACACAATATCGTATTTTTTACAAATAGTTATATGGCAACTCTTATCATGACTGAAAATTCTATTTTTTAAAATTAAAGACGTTATAAAGGAATTTTCTATTAAATTCTACAAAATATCATAACTTTATAAAGAATCTATATGTGTGCATGTGTATATACATATATATTCTTTTATTATTATAATAAGTAATGGTATATATTGTATACGATTTTATGAAAAATTTCATAAATATACATTTGTAACGTTCAAATTAAATTGAAATATAATATGTGCAGAGAATGAAAATAATTCGTTACTTGTAATGCAGTTACTGTTACAAGTAACTACTTTTTTTGGTAACTAATTAGTAACTTCGTTAAATTGCAAAATTAGAAGTTAAATTTCTCTACTGTACGAATATTTTTTGAGCATCCAAACAATACAATTTTTAATTTTTGCTTATTTTTCAGATAATATATTTTCTAAAATTAATACACATTTTTTTGGTATACAGGGTGTTTCCAAATTAAATGGCAAAACTTCGGGAGCGTGTAGAGGAGTAAAAAACTAAGAAAAAAAGTCCTATAGACATATGCTCGTTTTTGCTCCGTTTCAGAGAAATCGAAAAAAAATGTTTACATTTCTTGCCATATCTAGCACCGACATATTTGATTACATTTTCCACTTTCTGTTATGAATTTGTCAGTCGCTCTTTGAAAGCCTTTAACAGTAGATGAATTTTGTCTTTTGCAATATGCCGCGTACGTATTCTAATAGTGAATATGCTGATATGGTTTTTGTATACGGTTTCTGCAACGGTAATGCTTTAAAGGCGGTGCGAGAATATGCACGACGATTTCCAAACAGAAGAGTGCCAAACCGAAGAGTGTTTATGTTGACATTTAATAGATTGCGAGAGACTGGATCATTTTCAATTCGACAAGAAAACAACCGATTTCAAGCAGCGTTACGAAGAGATTTGCAGGCAGGGAA